AAAGATTTGATCGAAAATTGCATTTTACACTCGTTTCAGTTCGCTGAAGATTTCCTAATAAAAAACACTTTCATATTATATGAAAATTTTAGTCAAATTCTGTTAGAAAATCTTCTTAACATAAAATTTCATTTGCAAAATATTATGCAGCATTTTTATCAAGGATAGAATTACAAATAGATTCATATATTTCTTACTATTTTCATCATTTTATCTCGTTCATTTACTAGTAAAAATAGTTTAATTATTGAACATCAGTTGAAATCTAATTTCAATTTGAAGTCTAATCACAGTTTATATTTTATTTACACTTTATATATAACCGTATATTGTGAAAACATTGTGAAAATAACATCTCTTAATGCTCTAAAACATTTAATCGCCCTAGTTTAGTGAATAATGTATATTGACATAAGAAAATGGCATATTATTTGATTTACAAACATTTTTATTTACAATCTAAACATTGTATTGGGTTTAAGGACTTAACAAAACTTTAAAATGTCATCTCAATTGAGTTTTACTTAAATTTCTTTGGATTGTTTGTCAAAATGTTGCCATCATTTCGATGAGCACTTCCAAACAGCTATAAATTTTTTGAATTCATGAATCACTTGAATACACATATTCTGCAAATACTGTGAACTCTACAGAATTGTCAAATATTGTCTATTTTATCATATTTTATATTTCATACTTAATACACACTATTTACCCTGTTTCATATAAATCTAAACTAATATTCCTATGTATATTCAATTCATACAATTAATAAATAGAAAAAATTGTTCACAGAACTATACTTGCATTTGCATTTATATTTATTCAAATAATAACAATGATACTATCATTACACTATTAAATATTAAAGATATTTATAATAATGTATAGCAATAACATTATATTGTCAATACATTACACAGTGCTAACATGGAAATATTGAGAGTAATAAATAAATATTTACCTTTTATGTAAGATTAATTGAATGTGTTTTAAAATCATTATTTAATCTCCCAAATACAGTAATACAGTAGTTATTAATATCAAAACTAATTGAATTCAAATAGTATATCAATACAAAGCAATACAGTATTGATTGACTCATTAACCCGACATTGAGTTACTTGCTAATTATTAGCAAACAAACATTAACGAGAAATGAATTAATTTATATTTTAATTACTTAATCATAACTGTTTAGACACGATTGGATAAAAATACGAAAATGATTTAAATATTAGACACTATTTACATCTAATACAGTGTATAATAAGAGTTAAAATATATGCTTTAAGTGATAACTAGTGATGTGAGAGTCAACGGCAATAGACATCGATTGGAGAACTAATGCTTTACATGAATTCATCACTACATCCACACATTCATCCCATATTACAAGTCATTCTCAATCATCTATTAAGCATCCCTTCTCATCACGTCTACCGGCGCTGCATATGCTCTGCAAGAATATTCTGCTCACAACTACACCCAACCCCTACTCTATACCACATCATTGATAGTGAGAGCAAATGTCAAACAATATAGGGATGAGAGCGCAGGGGTTCA